GGCCAAAAAAAACTTTTAAAAGGGGGGGGGGGGGGGGGGCGGGGGAAAAAACACAATGGGCCAGGGTACATGAAAAAAGAAGAAGAAGACGCTTCTAGAACCGAAAGTGATTGCGACATATTTTTTGTGTGAAATGCTGGGGCATTCTGGAATGAAATTGATGCACAAGTATTAACTTTATTGTTCTCCTTTGGATTTTTGTCACTTTCCCTTCTTTTTTTGAAAAGTTCTTCTTGTATTTTTTATATATATTTTATTTAGTCACACAAATACAGATATGATCATTTCTTGGTGGAGGAAAAAGAATTTTGCATGAGGAGGTACTGATTATAAGATATGAAATAGCACAAATTTAGAGAGTTTCAATATTTTTTATTAGTTTCTGAAAAACAAAATAATAATCAAAAACAGCTAGGAATGAAGAAAAATTGATTGAGAAGCACTTTCATTGAAAATATGAAAAATTTTAAAATGCATGCTCTTTTGTTCTCAGTTTGTGATTCAACTATGTTTGCTTTTGTGGTAAAAAAAAAAATTCCTTGTTTTTTCTTGCTCAAAAAGTGTCTTATTTTGATTGATTCTGTTCTGATTTCAATTCTGTTCAGTCATGATTTAAATGCAGTTGAAAGTCTTGAAACTATTGAAGACTAGTTTGGGAGGAATTCAAATATTTTGAATTTCACAGTTTTTTGAGTTACTCTGACTCTGACTTCATTTGTTCAGGTTATAGTCAAAGGGGATTTTTCCCTGCCAAAATTATGGACCAATTCATAGATGTCCTGCCTGCAGAGAAATACCAGATCCTTTTGCAGAGACCATGAAAAAATAGTTGGCATGTTTTTTTTTTTTTTGATGGTCTGGAAACAGGTGTTCCAAAATTTCAGCCCAAATCCCACAAAACCCTTTAAAATTTTCTTGGGGAATTTTTGACCCAGAAAGATTTGAATTGAGGAAAATTGCATTGAACTTGAGGTAATTGGCCAGAGATAACCTGGAAATTTCAAGAAAGTGGGTTTTATATATATATATTGCAAGTTCAACTGCTTTTTGAATTCTTCAAAGCTTCATTCAATAAAAAAATACCACATGAAACATTGTATTGTATTGTAAATTTTGTATTTCCCCTAAAATTTGATTTTGTCAAGATTTTTCCTTATTTCAATTCATATTCACTCCAAAAAAAGTCAGACACAATATGATCCAGCATAAACATTTTTTGGAATTGAAAAATGTCTAGTTTTTTTATGCTTACCCAGAACAAATTTCATATTTGAACTTGGGGGTATTTTATATTTGGAAAAAAATGATTTTTTACTTTTCCTTGGCCAGAAATGAGTGAATTTGATGAAATCTAGAGCTTTAAATTATTTCAAGAAATGCTTGAATTTTATATACTGTTCAATGTGAAGCCTAAAATTTCTTTTGAATAACTTATTGCTTTTAAATAAATGGGACAGTGAATGATGCTTTCCTGACAGTCTTTGATTGCTTTTTTTTAAACTCTTTCCAATCACAATTGAAAGGAATTTATTTTGCCAAAGAATTTTTCTTTGCTCAATGAAACTCATGTTCGAAAAAAAAAAAAAATTTCCTTGTGCGGGGATGCACTCTTAAATTGATGAATAATGAACTTCTAATCGGAATATGCCGTATATACACCGAGTCCATTAACCGAGGCACCACTGCTGTACAAGTATAATTAATCACCCCGTTTCTCAGGTTGTAAAAATGTTTTCCCTCTGGGTGGCAAAGTTTTGTTTTTTATTTTTTACTTTTTTTTTTTTCAACACGTTTGTTGTTTGATGCTCTGAAACAACCCTGTGAGTGCATCTGTTCCGGTTCAACGAACACCAAGATCAGGGGCGCGGAACGGTTTTCAGCAACAGTTATAAAATCTTCCTCCCCCCCCCCCCCCCCCCCCCCCCCCCCCCCCCNNNNGTTATAAAATTTTCCCCCCCCCCCCCCCCTCCCAGAATTTACAGTCTAAAAGAGAAGATAAATTTATATGTTGAACCTCTCTAAGGTGAATTTCTAGGGACCAGGAAAAAAAT